AAAAAACTTGTGTAATTGACTTTGCATGGGCTCGAGAAAGGGGCCTGGCAAGATGCTCAAAACAGAAAAGACTTGTGTAATTGACTTTGCATGGGCTTGAGAAAGGGGTCTGGCAAGACGCCCAGAAGAGAAAAGACTTGTGTAATTGGCTTTGCATGGGCTCGAGAAAGGGGCCTTGCAAGATGCCCAAAACAGAAAAGACTTGTGTAATTGATTTTGCATGGGCTTGAGAAAGGGGCCTGGCAAGACGCCCAAAAGAGAAAAAACTTGTGTAATTGGCTTTGCATGGGCTTGAGAAAGGGACCCGACAAGATGCCCAGAAGAGAGATACATATGAAATGGACCAAGTAATGCGGATGTGAAAATAATTAAGCCAGATGCAAGAAAGGGTGAAAAAAGGGGGGTGCATGCGAAATTCACAGGACTAGAGAAAGGTCGGGCGAAAGGCCCGGGAGGAATGCACGTGAACCAGGCTCGAGGAAAGAGTGACGGAAAACATGGATTGCACGGGCTGAAGGACCCGAATAGAAGAGGCATTGAAAATGACGGAAAACATGGATTGCACGGGCCGAAGGACCCGAATAGAAGAGGCATTGAAAATGACGGAAAACATGGATTGCACTGGCCGAAGGACCCAAATGAAAGAGGCATCGAGAATGACGACAACCGAAAACGAACCTGGCATGAAATGAGAAGAGAGAAGCCTGAAGAAGCTCTTTTGACTCTCCACACCCCCCTCCGTCCGAAGGGGCAGAAACTAAAGAAAACCCTGAGAAAGGAGCGGGAAGGAACAAAACGAACCCTGGCAAGCTAACTACCCGTCTTGCCCCACCCCCTCTTCCCCTCCGTCTACCCCCCCTTAAGCCCCCTACTAACTAAGGACTGGTGCGAGATGAGGACATTGCGAATGAGTGGGGGGAATGTGTCGAGACCGGTGGGTCCCGAGATAAGTCTTGGCCGTCGAGAGGCAGTATACCGCAGAATTGTGCACGGCAGACAAAACTGGAGGCAGGAAGGACAGAAAGCATTGAGGTGCTGGCACTAGGAACGTGGAGGTTGCCCGG